CTCATCTGTGAACTGAGGCGCGCGCACGGGGCCCCTAGAGACGCGCCGCGGCACTCGGCGCCTACGTCGGGAGCTCGGGCGGGAACCTCCGGAAGGGGCCCCGCGGAGCCGAGAGGGCTTCAGGCAGCGCGCACGCCTGGCCGGCGCACCCACATTGCGCCCGGACGCGTGGCGCCCCCTCACCCCCCTCCGCGGGCTACGTCACTCCCACCCTGACACACGCGACACCCGCGGCGCGCAGGCACACGCATGGCGGTCCGGCGGCCGCTGCTCAGGCTCAGTAAACACCAGGCTGGAGAAGCTCGCACAGGGGCCGCTCAGAGGCAAGCCCTCCCCCCCACGCGGGACCCCGCCGGACCCGGGAAGGAACAGGGACTGTCACTGCCCCGACGGTGACGCCTCCCTCGAGAGGACACCCGGGCTCTTTGGATGCCCCCGGGCGCTGCCACGACCTTGGGAAGGACTATGCGCGGCTCGCGCTCGCTGTGATCTTCTCTTCTCCTTTCCTTTTTCTTTCTTTCCTTTTACTTTCTTTCTGAACTTCTTTGCCCCATGACCCTGCCCTTTACACCTTTCTCCGAAGAAATTACTACCTGCTCTGTAGTCGAGAGGTAGCTGCCCTGCCCACGCCCCCTACCCGTCTACCCACTATCCGGGATAAGGTCTTGGGAAACCCTGCTTTTAATCCACACTTCTCCGTGTGACCTTGATAATCCTCGAACCGCTTGAGAAATGTCCTCACCTGCCTTACAGGAAGGTACGAAGAAGCGAGGGGGAGCTGGGGCTTAGAGTTACCTGCTCAGATTGCAGTCCCAGCTCCCTCACTTCCTACTTGGGTGACCTTGGGCTGGTTTCCCTGCCTCTAGATCCTCAGTGTTTTCATCAATACAATGGGAATAATAGTAGTGCCTAGCTCATAGGATCATGCATGGTGTTATGTGTTAATCTGTGGAAGTACTTGGAACACTGCCCAGCACCTAAAAACTTCTTTGTAAATGTTGGTTCGTCTTAATTATTATTATTTCTTGTGCGAACTGCCCGCTTGGCCTGGCCACACTTGCTAAACTGCCCATACAATCCCTAACTCGGCCCTATTGCCAGACCAGATATTGTATTGTCTCTGCAGTGGATTAGCTGATTCATATGATATCCCCCTCTTTGGGTCAGGAACATTATTGCTTACTTATCCCCGTTCCAAAGGCCTAGGATTGTTCTCCCAATGGCCTCTGGGTAAATACCACAAGTGCCTGAGGACACGGAAAGAGTGGAGTGGCTTCTGCCCTCCCAAAGCTCTGTTTCTTTGGGATCATGGGCAAGGTAGCATTGATCTGGGCTTTGATGGGGTGAGTGAAGTTTTGGGCAGGGAGTAAATGATGTGAGGTAAATGAGCCTGTCAGGTTGGTGGAGTCAATTGTGTCCAATAGGTGGCTGGCCTTTTGTTCCCAAGTATCTCATAAAATAGTAAAAGTCTCTAAAGTAGCTCTGCTGTGTGATCTTAGACTGGTCATGACACCTCTCTGAGCCTCAGTTGCCTCATCTTTAAGTTAATCCTATCTACCACAAGGGGAGAGCATGGTGAGCCATAGAATGAAACAGGCTGGGTGACCGTGGCCAAGACATGTCATCTCTTTGAGCTTCGGTTGTCTAAGCTGTGAAATAGGAGTCTTTGTGAGAGCAAAATGTACATAAAGCAGAATTATTGACATTTGAGGTCAGATAATTCTTGCGGCAAGGGGCCATCCTGTACATTGTAGGTAGGACATTAAGCAGCATACCGTACCCACTAGATCCCTCCCTATTTGTAAGAACCAGAAATGTCTCCAGACATTGCCAAATGGCCCCTGGTGGACAGAATTGCCCCCAGTTGAGAACCACTGATATAAAGTACCTGACACAGATAGCTGGCACACAGTGGGCGCTCAACAAATGTTGGTCCCCTTCTCAGCCCATGATGAAGGAAGGTTAGCTTCAGGTTCACACACAGATCCCACACTTCACCCGAGAATTGGCCCACACTGCTGAAAAGACCATCCAAACATTTCCACGTTTGTGGATGGAGCCCATCCCTGGCCCAACCACATGTCTTATACATTCTGTTACTCCTTCAGATTCCTCTGGGCTGTTTCTCCCTCTCCCTCCCCATTCCCTGTGATGACGGCACAACTTTTAATAAATTACTTAAGCTCTGTGCCAAGTTCTCATCTGTGAACTGAGGATGATCCCAGTACCCACTTCATAAAGTTGTTGCAAGACTCCTCAGTGAATATGTGGCAAGTGTTTAGAGTACATTGTAAGCGCTCAGTAAGTGAAGGCTTTCATTTATTCAATGCATGGATTGAGTACTGGATCTGCTAGGATGCATTTGGCTGCAAGGAGGGGGAAAAAGGGCTACTAATGGCTTAAAACATAGTGTTTATTTAGCAAGAGATCCAGAGGAGGTTGGTTCCTAAGGCTGGGAAGACTTGGTCATGTCATCGAGGACCAAGGCACCTCCAACCCTGCTGTCTTCATTATGGTGGCTTTTCTTCCAAGGTTTGGGGCCTCAGCGTCACACAATGGCTGCTGAAACGGCAGCATCACCTCCTCACACCACAATTCCAAAGCAGTAATGAAAAGGAAAAAGGGGACTCTCTTTCTTCCATGCCTCTCTCCTATCAGGGGGAAAAAGCTTAAACCCCCAGCAGGTCAGAACTGGGTCACACCCTTGAATAGTCCCTGACCAAGAGCAAGGATTGCCACCTGCTTCATCTGCTGGGACATGGCTGCCTGAACAACATGGGGCTCTGTCATCAAGAGAGGAGGGGAACTATAGTGTAGTCTGCTAAAAGTGTCTGCCACAAGCTCCTACTATGCACTGAGCATTGGGTGAGGTGCTGAAAATGCAAAAGTGAATAAACCAACAATATTCAGGCATTCACAGAGTCGACGTTATTCCAGAAGGGGAGACAGACAATGATGAATTAAAGAAGGCAGACAGCAAGTTCTTTCTCTCATTCATTCAACAAGTATGTAATGAGGACCTACTATGCACCAGGCCCCTGCCTTTCTGGCACATCCATCCCAGAGCAGGGGGAGAAGGGTGATAACCATATAAACAGTAAATAAACAAGATCCTTACAGCATCTCTAAGGCCCACAAGGGATGGGTCTGGGAAACCAGAGTTCATTGGTGACAGCTCCAGGACTCTGCCTCAGGTCGCTGCCTAGCCCACGTCTCATGACTCAGATGGGTGCTCAGCCTTGGCGGGATCAGCGGGGACTCCCTCAGTTCAGGGCCTGGCTGCCTCCCAGCTAATCCTGGCAGAGACTCACTAGACCAAACATGACTAAGCAATTACAAGTTGGGGGAGACTTTCTTTTCCTATCCTCGGTTCAACCTTGACCTCTCCTCCCTTTCTCCCCATCACCCACACCCATCCCCTCCAGTATATCTGGTCGGGAACCCTTGGGTCCCATGTATGCACATATCTTAGCTCAGGGCTTAAAACAGTCTGTAGCTGGGAAACATTCACCAAGAGAACAGGGAGGAAAAAGAAAAAAAAAAAAAAAAACTTTCAGTTCAGGGGAGGGAAAAAAAAAGCAATGATAATGATAGGGAAATTCTCTTCTGCAGAGACAATTTTAGAGTTTCCCTTGCCATGTACTTCGCAAATAGTGGGAAATACCATTTTGTTTCTGTTGCATAAGTTTCGCAGTTGTGGGGGAGAATATTCTGCTGCTTGGAAACAGATAGTTCCTTATCCCCTGATGAAAGCCTATCAGCTTCTGCAGGCTTGGGATTTGAAGGCCCCCTCCCCAAGCTCTGCTGAAAAGAAAAACTAATTAAGATAAAGCAAAGGAAAAACAAAGGGTGATTTTTTTTTTTTTTTTTCCATCCCAAGTTGAATGAGCCAGGTGAAAAATGAGTTACTGGGCTGCCCGGGCATACCAATCATTTCCCAAATGAAAATGAGTTCTCAGTAAGTCAGGCCAGCTGCCCAGAGTCAGGCTTTTCCCCATTCTGAGCACAAGAGCAGCTTTCTGAGAAGAGAGATGCTTCCCCACCCTTAGAATTGGACAGAATAGCTCAACAACTGAACAGCGCTACATATGAGGCCAAGTTTTGTTTTTTCAGACCAAAATATAATTTTCTTCCTAATAGTTTTCGTTAAGCCACCCCCACATGTCCAAGTCAAAACTTCTCCCAAGGAAGCCTTACTGTTGCAAGCAGATCTCTCCTGAGTTCTCTGCTTCAAGGTCTGATTAGAGCATAACAGATATCAGATAAGTCAGGGCTCCAGAGCTTTGCCAAATCAGATTTGTGTCAGAAAGCACTGGAAACACAGTTTGGAGGAAGTAGAAGGGGAAATGCCTAAGACCCTCCATTTGAATCCCATTCTGCCACTAATGTGTATGCCGTCTTCTCTAGACTTTGGACATTGTTGTAGCTTTAGAGACCAGCTGCCTGGGTTAAAATCCCAGCCCTACCACTTCCTAATTGTGTGA